CTACCTCCCGAGTGCTGGGATTAAAGGCATGCGCCACCAACACCCAGCTTTTTTTTTTTTTTCTTTTGAGACAGGGTCTCACTGTATATCCCTGGCTGGGTTGGAACTTACTATGTAGATAAGGCTGGCCTTAAACTCATGGAGGTCTGCCTGGCTCTGCCTTTCAAGTGCTGAAATTAAAGGCATTCACTACTATGAAAAACCTCATTATTTATCATTATTATTATTATTATTATTATTATTATTATTTTATTATTTGGTTTTCTGAGATAGGGTTTCTCTGTGTAACAGTCCTGACTGTCCTGGAACTCACTCTGTAGACCAGGCTGGCCTTGAACTCACAGAGATCTACCTGCCTCTGCCTCCCAAGTGCTGGTTTTAAAGGGTTTTAAAGTGCTGGATTTCTCATAAAATCCAGAGCCCACCGGATTGGATAGATCTGGGGGACCATGCAGTGAGACCCAGGGATTCTCAGGTCTCTGTCCCTCCCAGGCCAGGGTTACAGATGTACACCACCGAGCCTGGCTTTTACATGTGTGCTGGGGACCTGAACAGAGCTTCTCTTGCCTAAGTGACACATACTTTACCAACTGAGCCATTGTCAGGAGCCAGCTCTGGTTAGATATAAAAGTCCTCTTTACAAGAGGCCTGGCAACCCCCATGCTCAGCTAACCGCCAATTAGTCAAGCACCCCACCCCTTAGGTTAGTGTTCGAGATAACCACAGGAAAGTTCTGGACACCTGCTCAGGCCTGAGAGCAATTAACACCCATTCCTCCCCACTTCCTCTTTCTCTACTTCCTCCTTTCTCTTTAAAAACCCCTTGTTTATAATCAATAAAATTAGACCTTGACAAGGACACTGCTTGGTCTGGCTTCTCTTTCTCGCCCATTATTTTCAGGCTAGTGTCCACCTTGGACCCACGAATTACCGAAGCCCCGCAGGCCGGGGCAGGTGGCGCCCAAACGTGGGCCTGAGGTACGGACTCTTCGCCAAACGGAGACCCCCCCCTCCCAAGGAAAACCTCGGTAGTGCACACTGACAAGGAAGTTCTGCTCACCGATTTCGACGGACATTGGTCTGGGAAAAGTTCTCACTGATCATGAGTGACTGATTCCCTGGTAAGTCCCCCCTCATTCCGTTCCTTAATAATGGGCCAAAAGTTGTCTAAGGAAGTCAAATTCATTAGGGATTTTAAGACTTCCTTTCGGGAAAGAGGAGTTCGAGTAAAATGTAAGGACTTGATTCAGTTTTTTCCCTTTTTGTCAAGAACATGTCCATGGGTCATTTTAGAAGGCCCAGACATTCATCTCCTAACTTGGAAAAAGGTCGGAGAGGATCTTAATAGATTACTCAAAGAAAAAGGAGCTGAGGCAGTTCCCTTACAGACTTTTAGTTATTGGAATCTTATTAATGATATCCTTACTAACTCCCCTGGCTCTGCTCACCTTACTTCTGCAATTAAAAACTTTCTTGAGCCCCTCTCCCGCGCTCATTCTCCTGCTTCTGACTGCCCCATAGACAAACCTCCAATCTCCAAATCCACTAAACTGGCCTTTCCTGTCCTAACCTGCCAGGGCTCCAGACATACACCATCTTCCTCTGACCAAGACCCCTCCTCTACTCATACAACTAGGGAGGAGGACGAGGAGGAAAACTCAGAGGATGAAATTAATAAGAGGGATAAAAATGACTCTGAGTCAGATAATGAGGGCCAAGATAAACAAACAGAAATAACTGAAAACACCTTTAAAAATTAAAATTTAAAGCCCTTAAGGAACTTAATTCAGCAGTCAAAAATTATGGTCCCACTGCATCTTTCACCCTTGCCTTGCTAGAGGCCCTCTCAGGAGAGGGATACCTCACCCCAGCTGAATGGCACTGTGTAGCACAGGCAGTCCTTAGCCTCGGGCAATACTTAACTTGGAAATCTGAATTCTATGACCCTTGCTGAGACCTTGCTACCAAGAATCAACAAAGGCCCACCACCCCCAGATACTTGTTTCCTCATTCTTGGTCGAGCCTCCTCTACCCCCAGGGCCAGGGGATTGTTGAAAGAGCTCACCAAACACTTAAAAACATGCTATTTAAACTATATTCAGGAGGAAGAATTCTATACCCCACTAAAGGCAAGCATAAGAACCTACTCAATCATGCTTTGTTTGTGCTAAATTTTCTCACATATGATGCTACAGGAAAATCAGCCTCGGATCGCCTCTGGCATGCATCAACGGCTCAAAATTATGCTCAGGCCTTATAGAAAGATTCCCTAACTCACAAATGGCACAGACCAGACCCTGTCCTCATTTGGGGAAAAGGACATGCATGTATTTTTGATACTCAGGCCAATAATGCTAGATGGTTGCCTGAATGCCTTTTAAAACTATATAATCCACCCAGGGAAGCCCCTGAGAAGTCTTCTAATTCTGCTTAATTTTAGATAAGAGATGCTGTCTTTTTGGCTACTTGTGTGTTTCTCACCTTCAATTGCCGTTGCCGCTGGAAGCCCTTATCAGATTTACAACTACACCTGGATGATCATCAACCAAGCCAGTGATGCTGCCAACGCCTCCACAACTATTGCGACCACCCCCTCCTATTCCCCCCTGATAGTTGACTTATGTGCTTTAGCCTTAGGGGCCTCTCCAGATGAGGGAACTCCTGACCATTTCCCCCTGCCCCCCAGGACGTCCCTCCTCCACTGACCATATTCTTTCACTAATTAATTCTACCGTTCAGGCCCTTCATCAAGCCAACTACTCTCTTATAGAGGACTGTTGGGTCTGCTATTCTTCCACCCCTCCCTTTTATGAGGGAATTGCAGGCACTTAATAATTCCTACCTTGCCTGTCCTACTGGATTGACTACCTATATTGTCACCTCTACCTTTTCAAAGACTAACCAGATTCATTGAGTCTCAGATTGACACCATCCTCGAAAAACCAGTCTTGGTCCATTATCATCACCTGGAGGTACTAGATCCTGAGCTGCCTGACCATAATGAAAACCCCGACAGTCCTCCTAAAGGACTGGATTTTTCGGGCCATGAACATCGAACCTCTTAATTTCCTTGGCCTTGGAGACGTCAATGACGGGATTATCGTGATGCCGCAGGCCAGACGCCGACCCATCTCAATGGCTGTAGTGCTCCTCTGTGACGGGATTAGCGTGAGGCCGTGACCCAGATGCCCACTCCAATTGCTCTCGAGCTGCTTGACTTATGAAAGGTCCTCGGAGTGCTGGGGGCAGATGCACCTCATGTAGCCTAAGACAGAGGCTCTACTCCTCATTGTCATATAAACATAGGGTCCTGGCTTCGGGTGCCCATCACGTAGCCTATGGCAGACACTCTATTCTATTCTACATAGAAGGGGGAGATGTCAGGAGCCAGCTCTGGTTAGATATAAAAGTCCTCTTTACAAGAGGCCTGGCAACCCCCATGCTCAGCTAACCGCCAATTAGTCAAGCACCCCACCCCTTAGGTTAGTGTTCGAGATAACCACAGAAGGTTCTGGACACCTGCTCAGGCCTGAGAGCAATTAACACCCATTCCTCCCCACTTCCTCTTTCTCTACTTCCTCCTTTCTCTTTAAAAACTCCTTGTTTGCATTTAGTAAAATTAGACCTTGACAAGGACACTGCTTGGTCTGGCTTCTCTTTCTCGCCCATTATTTTCAGGCTAGTGTCCACCTTGGACCCACGAATTACCAGAGCCCTGCGGGCCGGGGCAAGCCATCTCACTGGTATTACTCATTTTTAAATGTCCCCTCCTAAGAACACCTGCCTATTTACTTGGCTGAGCTTCTTTGAAATCAAACTTTCTCTTCACCTTCCTAAGTGGCAGTCAGGGAGGCACTGACATACAACTGTCAAATTCTCTGTGATGTAGTTAGTTTTATATGTAATCAATTATATAAATCCTATATATAAATTATATATATATACACATATATATTTATGTAAATTCAAGGTCAAGTCCTTGTTTGGTCATGGCAAGCCAAAAGGCAATGTTATTCATGTAGAAAAATGTGGTTTACTCTGCAACATGATTTCTAAAAATGATAATTTGAAAGACAGACATTGAATGGAATGGCTCAGTAGTGGCTCCCATGTATGGCCAAGGTCGACTTTGGAATGGAGGCCCAGGTCTACATTTTGTGATTGCAGTAACTCTTGGGCCTGGTTCTAGTCCATACAGACTGATGCCTTGCTTCCCAATTAGGAAGGGCCACAGTCTTCAAAGTATAGCCTCTTCTATGAACTAACAGAGAAAACAATTGCCACTGACTGAGAAAGGGACCAGGGTAAATTGCTCTTTAGACACCAAAGAGGGTGCCCTCTGTGAATGTCAAACCAGTTGCCCTCTTAATTCTCTTCCACCAGGTTTGATGTGTTCCACTGGCCAGCATGCTCACCACCAGAGTTATAGCAATGGCCTTGGTACCCTTGGGGCCCAGCCCATGATGGTTGAGGTTCATGCAGGACTCCTCCATGTTCCGGATGAAGCAGGAGACTGGCACTACGCCCACCAGTTTGCAGGCCTCCAGGTACAGCTCCGCCTGTCCAATACTGAAGAATTTCTCTGTGTCTGTATAGAAAGTCAGAATGAAATAAGGTTTCTATTCCAGGCTGCCTTATCCCCAGTCGCCCCAGTGCTGTTCTGCCTGGACTTTCTTGGGATCTGTCCTTGCGGGTATGTGCTCTAGAACCCAGCTTTTCCAGCTGTGGGAGATGATGTAACACGGGAGAGAGTAACCAAATGTGGGAGGAGGGCACAAGAAAATGGCCACAGTAAAAGGTTTGTGAACTTGGGCTATGACCACAAGTTAATTTACAATCACACGTGTGAGAAATGTGTTTCTGGCTGTGCTCACCCATGTGGCATCTCAAATCTTCACCACAGGCTTCATTCCGAACACAGTGTACACACTTAGCACTTTATATGCTCTTGCACTACACAACACCACAGCTGCCAAAACATCTGGGCTGTGGCTACAGATTCTTCTATATTATGAACTGAAGTGTTTTTTTTTTCTGCACATACAAAGTTCCCCCCTATTTTAAAAACTTGTCTTAGTCATGCAGTGATGGTGCACGCCTTTAATCCCAGGACTGGGGTGGCAGAGGCAGGTGGATCTCTCTGAGTTTGGGGCCAGCCTGAACTATAGAGTGAGTTCCAGGAACAGACAGAGCATGAAGAAACCCTGTCTTGAAAAACCAAAAACCCAAACCAAACCAAAACCAAAACAAAGAACCAAACAACCCATGTGGTTTAACTATGGAAGACAGAGACTTTCAATATTTCCCTACCATTATTCCTCAGCATGTAATAGCAAAGCAGTACATTTTTACATTGGATTGGATTATAATAAAATTGTGATACAGAATACAAAAATATTTAAATTTTTTTTTGTTTAATTCTGAGATAGGGTCTTTTTTATGCAGCTGCTCTGTCTGTCCTGAAACTCACTATATAGATCAGTCTGGCCTTGAATGTCCAGAGATCCACCTAACTCTGCCTCATAAGTACTGGTATTAAAGGCATGTGACAACACAACTGGCTATAATGTTTGATTTCAAAAATTTCTGTTTGAGTTGTTGACTTGTTGTGGGATATTCAATCATACTGTGAATCCGGAGTTTGCATTTGCATTAATTAAATAAAATCAACCTTGGGTCAGGAGGCCCAGTTAGCAGAAGCCGAGGAGGCCTAGTTGACAGAAGGTAATCATAGAAAGTCAGATGGTGTCTGGAAGACGATAGACACACAGGATGTAGTAGGGAGGGACATAGTGTAGCATGGTTTTAGGGGGAATGGGGAGGAGCAGAAGGATGCTCTCTCTTGGAGATGCCAGCAAAGAGAGGTCAGCCAGTTGCTCTTCAACCTCTCTGAGCTAGTGGGTTTTCACCTCAGCCTCTGACTCCCAAGTCTTATTGATAAGTAGAATGATAGCGATTTAATTAAAAGCTTTATTCGGCGATAGTGACAGAGCCAGTGCCTGAGGGAATGGGATTCCCTCCAGGCCACAGCCTGAATGGCTGGGCTGCTGCCAGAGAAGTAGGCTGGTAGCTATGGAGCCACAATTACTGGCTGAAAGAGCAGCAGATCAAAGCGTAGCCACTGTACCAACCGAAAAAAAACAACATTGATCATTTCACACACAAAAAAGTTATTAAATCAGTTTTGGCTTGGGATTAGAAAACAATTTCTGGAGGTGAGGGCCATCTGGCTGCGACATCGGTCACCCCATTGATCGCCAGCGTTGATTCGGCTGATCTGGCTGGCTAGGCGGGTGTCCCCCTTCCTCTCTCACCGGTGGCTCCATGTGCATCCCTCCTGAAGCTGTGTGCCTCGGACGACCTTCCCCGAATAGAGGAGGACTGGTCTTCGGTCAAGGGTATATGAGTAGCTGTGCTCCCCTGCTAGAACCTCCAAACAATCTCTCAAGAAAACAGTTTTTACGTGTGTGTGTGTGTGTGTGTGTGTGTGTGTGTGTGTGTGTGTGTGTGTGTAGAAAGTTTAAGAAGCCCTGCCCTAGATGTAGACACCAAGCCCAGAGCCAGGAGTTTGGGAAGAGAGGGAACACTAACTTCGGAAAACCCAAATGGACATTAAGAGGAGAGGCCAGTGGTTTTATGTCCCTTCCTAGGAAACAGGAACAATATGCCTTTGGTCGCCTTCCCAGGCTGGTCCCATGCAAAGACTGGTCATAAGTGTATTTACAGGCCCAAGCCTTCTGTCTGCCTTTGAACCAGGGCCAAGTAGTAGCCCAGAGTTGTTGACTTTTGACAATTGAAGGAATCTCTAATTCAATCTTAGTTTCACTAGCACTGCTTTTTATTACTATTATTATTTAACTTTTTATGTATAGGTGTTTGGCCTGCATGTATGTTTGTCCACCATGTGTTTGCTGGTGCCCATAGAGACCAGAAGAGGGTGTTGGATCTCCTTGTATTAGAGTTAGAGATGGTTGTGAGCCACCATGTGGGTACTAGGAACTGAACCTGGGTCCTCTGGAAGAGTAACCAATACTCTTCACCACTGAGCCATCTCTCCAGCCCCAGCTAGTCTTCATAAACATAAGCTAGCCAGTGGTATAGCATGGCAGTAGAGTGAGGTCAGGAGGTCACGGTTATGTGAGTCCTTGGCTTGATTCCCCAGCACCACAAAAAGTTGTGAGCCACAAATAAAGCTTTGCTAAAGATTGGGAGAAGCACCCACTTAAACAAACAACAACAAAAAAGTCTCTTTTTTTTCTCAAAGAGACACTTGTACCCATCCTTTTGGCTATCAGATTGTTTAAACAATAAACCCCAAGAAATTAGAATTCGCCAGGGGTCTCATGCAGGGAGCAGGGAAAGGTTGAAGTCTGGTGCTAACCAGGGTAGGACGGGTCTCCTGGAAAGAGAGCTCACACAGTTCTGACAGGTAGTCAGGTCACCTTGAAGGGGAGAGGAGCAAAGACATTGATAGAGACCTGGACTACACCTGGCCTTGGATTGCCCAATTCTGCATGCTTCTCCCCCTCTATTTAAACCGGAACCTTATGCCAGGATCCCGAAGAAGGACTTGGCAGGGTTGGGCCGCTTTGTCTGTTCCTCTTCATAATGAGGTTACAGGGAGTAAGTCTCCCTTTTCTGCTTTTCACTTTTAATTGTGTCTTTAGTTGACCTATTGTGGATGAGTGGCTGAACCTAGTTAAGGTTGTCAGGGTTGGGGAAATCAACAATCAGGGACCCGACACAAACAACTTGTAACAGCCTCAAGACAAGAAATTAGCCCAAATCAGTCAAAAACAAGCAAGCATGCACTTTTGTGGGCTTTTCTATTCTGGTGGACTTTCCCACTTTAAACTCTATGTCCCCAATGACAAATATAGACACAGATTCCACACAGCTGATCAGTACTAACAGAATGAGAACCCCATCTCTATTGCAAGCCCTTGGGCTCCTTGTTCTTTAGACTTCAGACCAGCCTGGCCCATGATCAGTGGGCATCAAGCCTTCTTGGATGAAGGTGAATGAGGAACTAGGAACCTCAGGCAAAACGTTCAGTGTTGCTCTTTGTCATGTCCTCTAACTAGGTAAAATGAGGTGTGGAAGGCAGAATTAACAGCTGGGCAGTAGTGGCACATGCCTTTAATCCCAGCACTCAGGAGGCAGGAGGATCTCTGTGGGTTTGAGGCCAGACTGGTCTATAGAGCGAGTTCCAGGACTACCAGACAACCCAGAGAAACCCTGTCTCAAGAGAAAAGAAAGAAAGAAAGAGAGAAAGAAAGAAAGAAAGAAAGAAAAAAAGAAAGCAGAGTTAACAACAGCCTTAAAGTGCAAAGAAGCAAGAAAGAGAGGCACACGATGACTGGGGAGAGATGGGAGGGGGTCTGAGTAGAAGAGGGGATTTCCATGCTGACTGGCAGGATGGTTTTATAATCTGACATTAGGGGTAAGGTTCACTTTGCCCCACTCTATTGATGTGGGCTGAGAATCACTGACTGCCACCCATTTTCAAGAACACACTAGAGGGTGGGGATAATGATGAATAGAAGTGATCTCAGCACTGTAGTGAGGCCAAAAGGTCAAGATCATCCTTGGCTATGTAGTGAATCCACGGTCTGTCTGGAAGACATGCAACCCTTTCTCAATAAAACAAAAGCAACAAGAGAAGAAGGGTGACTTGGACTAGACTAGCTTGCAAAGCTGAAGGCTGCCCACATCCAATGGGACCAGCATCATTCTCCCCTTGCTTCACAGATGTTCACAAATGATCTTTTTTTTTTTTTTTGCACCTCTCTCCTTGGGGATAACGGGAAGAAAGGGATTCTGGCGGTGCTATTTTTGAGAACAGAATGTCTGCTTCAGCTCCATCAGCTGGGGTAACCAGGCATGCTTGATTTGTTGTGACAAAGCTTGGGACTCTGAAGCAGGAGAAACAACAACTCTTAGGTAACCAGAAAGTCATGGGAGGGGGGCAGTTAGGGCAGCAGAGACACATTAGGGTACTGCATGGAATACTGAATGGCAAAGACAGGTCAGACGTGGTATCAACTTATGGAGCCCGGGCAGCTCTTGGTGGTTCCCGGTGACTCTCACAGTCTTTAAGGCTGTTTCCTTTCTAGAAAAGGTGTAACAAAGTCTGCCTTCTGGGATTCTGGAAAAATCACAGAGAGTCACATGGGGTGGGGTGGGGCTGGAGAGGTAGTTCAGAGGTTAAAAGCACACACTGCTCTTTCAGAAGACCTGAATTCAACTGCTGGGACCCATGTCAAGAGGCTTGCAACTATCTGTAGCTTCAGCTCCAGGGGGTATCTGATACCTCTGGCATCTGTGAAAGCACCTGGACTCTTGTACACACACACACACACACACACACACACACACACACACACACACTGCTCTTGTGCACACACACACACACACACACACACACACACACACACACACACACACACACTTAAAAAAAGTCACATGGGAGAGATTTTAAGACCAGAAACTTTTGTGTGTTGGTTTAGATCTTAATAACAACCCGATGTGGGTCCTGCTCAGATAGTCCTGTGTTGTCCCCTGCCAACCAGGAAGAGCAGGTGGTCTAGAATTGTAGCCTTCCTGCTCCCATCTTCCAGTAGGACAGAGAGGAACCAAATTGGTTCTGGAGGAACCAAATCTCTCCAGTTTCCGAGAAAGCTGGTTGGCCACCCACCTTGCCTTAGATGTTACCTCACCTTCAATTTCCAAGTCGGTTTCTGAATCCTCCCGGGTGGGTTTCTCTTTCTCAACACTTGTAGTGGCTTCGCCTTCGCAGTAGAGGGTGTCATCGCTGTCCTGATGTGCTAATGCGGATTCAGTCTCATCTGGAAGAAAACCCCATCTGGTTCTGGGAATGAAACCTGCAGCCCGTTGGGTGACTTGTTCGGCTCACTCTTCCTCCCAGGTTCTGCCGGCAACCTTTGCCCCAGAGTTTCACACAGCAGCCTTGCTGGGAAAACCCCCTTCTGTAAGACCCCCTCACGGCTGAATTGGTGGAGTCCTATGTCCCTTGTCAACGGGCAGCTCCAGCCCCCTTCCCTGATCTGCCTGCTTTCGGTCCTTGCTCACACTTCCCCCTCATTATTTGCATGGAAGGATTTTGGGGTCTGCTGTCGAGTCTGTTAATCTCTGTGGAGAAAGGATGTGTCCCAAAGCTACTTCCGGGTCACACACTGTGCTTCTGGGAGGCAGGTGCAGGGCAGGACAGGTGGGGACTGGGATCGGATGCAAAAGAAAACAGACCAGGATCCATTCCAGGGAGCAAGGAAGACAGTCGGATTTCTAGGCAGTTGGCCTAACTTCCCTTCCCTTGAGTCCCACTGTTCCTGGGCCTATGAGGGAGGGGCCTGCCGCTGTCTCCTGAGCTGAAGTTCATTGCTATCATCATAGCAGGGTCTCCTTCACACCGGCCCTGGGACTAGCTGGATACGGTTTGTTCACTGGGTCACTGAGTGGTGCGTTCCTGAAAGCTACACACAAGACTCTGAGATGAAAACTCCGGCAGCCCAGGCCTCAGTGGTTTCACACCTGTGCTTTCCGAAGACCTAGCAGACAGGGCCAGTCTACGTCCCCCACCCCGCCCGCCCCCGTTGGTTTTATTTATTTTATTCTTTGATAATTTTATACGTGTTTACACATCTCCTCTTTTAGTGGGTTGAGCATTATGTATCTACCTCCTCCTCGTTTTCACAATTCAGATTCTAGGATGCTGGACTTCTTAATAATCCCAAGTTAGGTGTGTGTCTTCATTTTTTTGTTCACAGAGCCAGGTCCCAATATTTATCCTCAAGCCTCTGTGACAAGTTTCCATGTGACATGTTGTTTGAGTAGCCCAGTGGTCAGGAAGCATTGTTGCTGAGCTGCCCAGACTGCTGCCCTGTGCTCTGGGGAAAGGGGCTCATTTCTGAGTTTCAGTTCCTTTATAAGTCAAATATTAAAAGAAAGGGAAGAAGGGAGGGAGGGAGAGAGGAGAGGAGGGATGGAGGAGAGAAAGGAAAGGGAGAAAGGAAGGAGAGAAAGAAGAAAATGTGTGCTAGGAGGAGGAGTGCAGCGCTGTGTTTTTGCAGTGCCTCGAGTCCCCTGGAGTTGGCATTACAGGTTACTGTGAGTCCCTGGGAACTAAAGTTCTCCCAAAGAGCAGAAAGGAACAAGTGCTGAGACATCGCTCCAGCCTCTCAAACAGTTTTAGAATTCCTAGAATTCCACTCCACCAGGGGGTATGCTAGCAACTAAAAACCATCAGCCAATTCATGTGGTGTAAACATTCCCAGTATGGCTGGTTCCTAACTATCAATGTGATGCCAGCCAGTCTACAAAATGAAAATTGACATTGGTTAGAGCTCGTAAGAGCCAAGTCCAGCACCACAACTCGCTATATTTGAGTGGTTTCTAAACCCTGTGGCCAACGCAGCACATCATCTCCATTGCAGAGACTCAGCAGAGGGAGAAGGGCTTTTGGGGTGGGGGTGGGAGTGGGTCTACCTGATCGCTGGACACCACCGTAGGAAGGGAGAGAGATGGGGAGGGCTTTTCACCTTTGGTCTCAGAATCAAAATCATCATCATCATCATAGTCCATGCTGCCAGGACTCTCTTGGGAGCAGGTGACAGCTTCTCGTCCCCTGGTGGCTGCTTCCCTAAGATGCACACCTGTCCATTCAGCTCTGTTTCAAACTATGTGCACCACCCTCTCCTCTCCAGGGTGAATCCCAAGGGGACCTGCAGCTATTTTTTCATCCCAGCAAGCTTGGAGGAGAGCCAGCTTTGGTGGGAATCCGGCATGTATGGATTTGCCTCCAACTCTGTCTGGGGGAGGTAGCTAGACTTTGGGCTCATCCGGGGGGCAATGGTAGAGCTCTATTCCCCCGGACTCTGGTCAAAAAGGGTGCCTACCCACTTATGACTTTGTGACATAAGAGCTACTTCCCTTTTAACTTCAACATTCCATGATCTCATGTAGTCATTGTGATCCTTGAGGGTGGACCCGGCAACCGCAGGCCTCCCGCCCTTTTGGTGGCTCTGGTGGTCACCTTTTCTCATATGTTGGCTGGGTCCAAGCCCAGGCTTGGCTGTGAGTGCTTGGGTGCTGTGGGGGGCCCCCTTAGTGACAGCCTATTTCCTTCTGAGTCAGCACCAAACCCAAGGCTCTTCTTAATCAGGTGACTGTGAAGCGCCGCCACCATGTTTTTCTCCCAAGGTGGCTGCGCTTCAGGTACAAAGTATTTCAGTGATGGGTGAAGTCAGATTCCTTCTACCCAGTTCTTCTTTTTTGCTTGAACCCTTGGGAGAGCATCCTCAACCTTGGAGCAGAAGGACAAAAGCAAAGCACCACAAAGCATATGTTCTGTCACTACGGTTTGTTGCTGCCACAGCACTGTTCAAGCCAAACTGCTAGGTTGTTTAACTTGAGGCCAGCATTCCCACGTTCTGCCAGGATTCCCACGCCCAGCCAGGATTCCCACGCTCAGCTGTGTTCACATGAGGAGCTGACGTTTACTTGCAGTGTGGTGTCAGGAGGACCTGAGGGCTTGTCCGCTGCTCCTTGATTAAGACTTCAGGGCATCAACAGGTCAGTGGCTGGAAGATGGGGAGGGTGGGTGAAAGTCCCCCTTTTTTGTTATTTACAAGATGAAGATCTGGAAATCTTGGGAAAATATAGTTATGGGTGTGTGTGTGTAGGCAAGAGTTCTTCTCTTCAGTCCTCTTCTTCCATCTTGTCTGTGAGGTCTGCTTCTTGTTCCTGTGTTGTATACTATGCTGTACTCCGGGATGGCTGGTCCATGAGACAGGCCAATTCTTCCATAGGAGTGCTGGAGTTACAGATGCACAACTCTACAGCTGCATTTTTTATATAGGTTCTGGGGATTGAACTCAGGCCATCAGACTTTTGAGTTAATCTTTGTGCATGAGGTGGAGAGTCATTTACACATGTGCGCGCTCGTTTGTCTCAGCACAGCCGTTGAAAGGGCTCCTCTCTCCTCTCCTAAGTGTTGTCATCATTTTCATTCATTGTTGAAATTGTGTCCCTTTTGTTTTGTGTCATAACCAACCAGGGCTGGTGCCACTTGCCTGTCACCCCCATACCCAGGAGGCAGAGCTGGGGGGATCACAAGTTCAAGGCCAGCTTGGACTATAGTTTCAAACAAAAGCCAAACCTCTGGATGCTGCATTGGACCGTCTAATTAAACCATGGTGCTTTAAAATGACTAGTTTGTGAGACGGTGCCCTACAATGCTCGGAGGTGGGCCTGAGGGCCCCTGGGAGATGAACTGATGCTGCAGGCAATTCAAAGAGTAGGGTGCTATGATTTCGGAATAAGTCAGAGAGGATCATCTTCTAGGGCAAGAAGTCAAATACGAAGAGAATGATAGTTGGACCATGAAGATGACTCAGTGGTTAATAACTCTTGCCACCAAGCCTGATGGGACTAAGTTAGATCCCTGGGACCCACATGGTGGAAGGAAGAGAATGGGATCCTGAAAGATGTGCTTTGATTTCTATGTGCGTGCTGTGGCACTATCCTTACCACAAACACACAAACAAAAAGAAGAGGATAACCTCCACTTCCCTCCCTCCCTCCCCTCCCCACCTCTGTGTGCCCTCACATATGCATGCAGAGGACAGAGTGCGGGACTTCAGGAATCTTCCTCTATTGCCCTCCATTTTACTTTATTTATTTTATTTTATGTGTTATGGGTGTTTTGTCTGCATGTATGTCTGTGCATGCATTGCTTGCATGCCTGGGTAGGGCAGGCATGAAAAGGCCAGAAGAGGGCACTGGATCTTTTGGAACTGGAGTTACAGATCCATGCCTTGTCAGGGCTGGGAATGGAACCTGGGTCTTCTGTAAGAGGGGCCAGTGCTCTTAACTACTGAGCAATCTTCCCAGGCTCCACTGTTGTTGTTTGCTTGTTTGTTTTGGCAGGGTCTTTCACTGAATCTTGAACTTGATGGTTTGTTTTGTTCCAGGCTAGATTGGCTGGCCAGCAAGCTCCCAGGACCAGCCTTCTAACACTAGGGTTACAAACATGTGTCCATACCTGGTTTTCATGTAGATGCTTGGGGTTAGAGCTCAGGTCCTTTTGCTTTTACAGTAAGTACTTGTGATGGATATTCTTGGCTGTCAGCTTGACTATAACTGGAATAGCCATCACAAGTATGAAAAACACAAGTCACTGGGTAGATTTTCAGTGAATTCCATACGTAGTCAAGTTGACAACCAAGAATGGCCATACAGTATTCTTAATGGAGACATCCCCCAACCCCAATTTCCTTAGTCATTACCAGGGTTTCTTCTCACCAGTGAGGTTTAAAGCAGGCGAGTCCTTTGTGTCCTACATGCTAGCATTTATACAGCTCGATAAGCGCCACACTCTGCTCCATGGACTTTAGATGACTTCATGCATTTCAGCTGCTCAAAGTCTCAATTATTCCTATTTTGTAGATGAGGAATCTGACAGAAGGATTCAATAACTGGTACAAGGTCACAAAGCTAATATGTGACCAAATGGGGATGTAAGTGGACTCTCTGTCTGGCTTCAGAGCCCATGCTGCCTCTGCAGTGACTTCCGTGTTTCAATAAAACAAGGTTGTTTCTCTCTGGAGCAACTGTAGTTCTTGGCTGAGAAAGGTTGTGCTTAAGTGATGTATTGCAGGATTGGTAAATTATGTAGTCCACTCGTTAAATCTGGACCATACTTGGTTTTTTGTTTTGTTTTGTTTTGTTTGTTCGTTTTGAGACAGGGTTTCTCTGTATTGCTTTGGAGGTTGTCCTGGGACTCGTTCTGTGGACCAGGCTGGCTTTGAACTCACAGAGATATGTCTGCCTCTGCCTATGGAGTACTGGGATTAAAAGTGTGAGCCACCAACTCCCAGCCCATGCTTGTTTTTATAAAGTTGTTGACACACAGTTATTTCAGCCCACTTTAGGCATGGCCTATGACTTCTTTCAGAACTCTAGAAAGCCCAAACTACTTCCTATCTCGTTCTTTAACAAAGAGTATTTCATGGCATTTAGATAAGATGATCCAGGAAGAGAAGTTCAGTTTCTTAGAGGGAAGAGACTAGAGACAAAGGGATTAAAGTAGTGGTTCTCAACCTTCCTAATGCTGTGATTCTTTAATACAGTTCCTCATGTTGTGGTGACCCGAAACCATGAAATTATTTTTGTTGCTACCTTATAATTTTGCTACTGTTATGAATCATAATGTAAATGTTTAATATGCAGGGTATCTGATATGCAACCACGAGAGGGTCTCAAACCACAGGTTGAGAACCACTGGGTTAAAGGTAGGAAATTAGCAGAAACCACATTAGGAGGAAACACAACATAAGAAAGGAATAAAAGTTATTGTGTTGGCTGTAATGATGCCTGATTTTATGCGAATTTTTTGATACAGAATCTTGCTATGCAACCCAGGTTGGCTTTGAACTCATAGTGTTTACCATGACTCAGCCTCCTAAGCACTGGGATGTGTACAATCATGTCTTTTGGGATTTATTGCTATTGTTGATGTTGCATGTGTGTGTGTGTGACCAGAGGTTAGTGCTCTATTGCTTTCCATCTTTTTAAAATTTATGTGTGTGTTGGGGGGGGTAGGTGTCTGTGTGTAGGTTTGTACATGTGAGTGCAGTGCCCTTGAAGGACAAAAGAGGGCATCATATCTTCTGGAGCCAGAATTACAGGTAGCTATGAGGCTCCTGATGTGGGCACTGGAAACCAAGTCATCGGTTAAGAGCTCCCAATCACGGAACCATCTCTCCAGCCCCATTCCCACCATTTTTTTATTTTTAGTTTTTGGATAAAGGGTCTCTCACTAAACTTGGAGCTCACTGATTGTTAGACTGGCTGGCTAGTGACCCTCAGGATCCTCCTGTCTTCACCTAACAGCGTTGGGCAGTACCAGCTGTTAACAAAGTTCAAATTAAGGATTGTCTGCTTTACATCCCGACAACCACACAGCTTTGCAGGAAGACTTTTAAGCAGTAGAATGACCTAGTGGGTCTTGCCGTGGAAAGCATGCTCTGGCTGCATTATGCACCATGGAATAAAGCTAGGAAGGCGATCAGCACCAGTTAGGAGTGGATGAAGGGTGAGGTGGATTGATTTGACTCAAAGGAGACCAAACCACTTGGACTCCAGTGAGCTCAGAAATACAACACAAGAGAAGAGATACACTGTAGGAGAGCAGGGTAACTCAGTAAATGATTTTTTTTTTTAAAGATAAAGAAACCGAAACAGTGAGGTTTGTGGGACAAGATGACAGAGAGGAGGTAATGAGTGTACTTTAAGTGTGTTGGGTCTGTGAGTTATCCCTGGGACATCCATTGAAGAGGATTGTAGGCAGAAGGATTTGTCTATGGGTCAGGAAAAGAACCTGGGGAATAAACAGACATAAGGGCCATGGATGCTCAATTGGTTGAGTGCTTCGCTAGGATGTATGTCTTGAGTCTCTAGGTTTGAATCCCAGCAATGCATAAACCTGGGTGTGGTGGCTCCTCCAGTAATCTCAGCACTTAGGAGGTAGAGGTAGGAGATCCTGAAGTTAAAGGTCATCCTAGGTTACATAGTGAGTTTGA